CTCATCCTCCATCCTCCCACCTCCCATCCATCCTCCCACCTCCCATCCATCCTCCCACTCATCCTCCATCCTCCCACCTTCCGTCCATCCTCCCACCTCCCGTCCATCGTCGCACTCATCCTCCATCCTCCCACCTTCCGTCCATCCTTTCACCCATCATCCATCTTTCTACCCATCCCTTATTCTCCCAACCCCCCATCCACCCACCCATCATCCATCCTTCTACCCCCACCCCTTTCCATTCTTCCCCTGTATCCATGTGATCGTTTTGCAAGTATTTTTGGAGTGTCTGCCTAGTGTGAAGCACTGGGGTATCCGAGCAGACACTATACCCTTGCTCTGTTGAACTCTGCAGTCTAATGGGGGAGACTAAGGCTAGTCAAATAATCACACACATCTGTGTATCACTGTCAATGGTACACATTGCAAGGGCTATGGAGGAGGTGCTGTGCAGTGCTGTTCATTGTGTAATAGGAATTTGACTTAATAAGGGGACTTGGGGGTCTGTAGTTTCCTTCCTTTATATGGATCGTGTGAGAACACAGATGGAGAGAAGCTTGGAAATAGCGAAGCCCTATGCAGATTTGAGATGGAGTAGTTACTGTCATTACTTTTTGGTGGGAATGTGGCCTCTTCCTTTGCTGCTGGATTGCATTCCAAGTTAGTTTTTTCTCTGCTCAGCTCTTGTTGCACATGGGCAAAGGCATGAAGGGTGGGCCAGTCATTTCAGAAAACTGACTTGCTGTGAGTGATGTTGGCCAGTTCTTGTCTTGTAGCTTATGGACTGGAGACTGGAATTGCTTGGTTTTATGGTAGGAGCCGAGGCCATGTTCTAGTCCATCGATGGTTGCATGTTTGGGGTTGGAAGGCAATCCTAGTGAGTGGCAGGGTGTCCTCTGAGCACTGTCACAGAACGCCCCGTCCCCATCAAAACCATTTATGGCTCCTGGAGTTAAAGCGGGACTGTTGGGGCTTGCTCGAGACAGAGCTCATATAGGATGATCTGAACTCGTCTGATAATTTAGCATGACATTATCTTCTTTGCTTTTTTTTTCATTTACAATTAAAACTTTTTAAATTGTGAAACTGGGGGCGCCTGGGTGGCGCAGTCGGTTAAGCGTCCGACTTCAGCCAGGTCACGATCTCACGGTCCGTGAGTTCGAGCCCCGCGTCAGGCTCTGGGCTGATGGCTCGGAGCCTGGAGCCTGTTTCCGATTCTGTGTCTCCCTCTCTCTCTGCCCCTCCCCCGTTCATGCTCTGTCTGTCTCTGTCCCAAAAATAAATAAAAACGTTGAAAAAAAAATAAAAAAATTGTGAAACTGTCACAAACTTACAGGAGAGTTGCAAGTGTAGCACAAACAATTTTTCCTTCTTATTCCAGAACAAACTGCCAACCTGTGTGCTTTTCATGAACAAGGGTGTTCTCCTATATAACAGTAATACAAACATCAACGTCAGGAAGCCAACACTGATACATAATACCATCTAATCATCAGCCCCCATTTGAGTTTTCCCAGTCGTATACATAGTGTCTTTAATAGGAAGAGGATCCAGTCCAGAACAAAGCAGTGCATTTACTTTTCTGTCTCTTTGGTCTACTTCAGTCTGGAAGGGCTCCTCAGGCTGTGACGTACGTAGCTGTGATGCTTTAGAAGATTACAGGCCAGTTACTTTGTAGCATGTCCCTCCACCTGGATTTGTCCAAGCTCCCGGTTGGATTCCATTTGTGCATCTTGGGACTGCCATAGAAGGGACACTGCCACCTTCTCCCTGTGTCTTAGAGACTGGGACTTGGCTGGATAGGAGCCATTACCAGTGATGTTTCCTTTGATCGCTAAGTGAAGGTGTGCTCTCCGGGCTTCACTGCAGAGTTACTTGTTTTCCCCTCGCCTGCCTGCCTGCCTGCCTGCCTGTCTCTCTCTGTGTGCACTCCTGATTCCCTGTTTTATTTGGTGGGTTGGGATTCATTGTCGCCAGTGGGAGCCTCTTCAGGACTGCTTCTCTGTCTTTTTGACAGGTCCTTCCCACTCTTTGAGCACTTTTTTGTTCTTTGGCACAAGAAAATGTCCCAGGCTCATTTTATTTCCTGCCCCTGCCTTGGGAATCAACCATTTCTCCAAGGAGTCCTCATTCCTTTTAATAGAGGATGGCACTTAGAAGCAAGGTCTGAATGTTGGGTCTGCATGTAGCTACTGGGTATAGTGATAGTAGTATAGTGATACTACTGGGTATCACTGCTCCCAAGTCCTCTCAGTGGCCAGAGTAGGGAATATCTGAGTACTCTATCACCACCCCCCCATTACATCTCCATTTCCATGACTCTCCCCCCCCTTATATTCAATATGTAATATATATCTTGAAAATCTCACACTCCCAGTTATAGTCCAATACAACAATGTCCTAGGTTCATTCTACTTGCCTCCCTTTCTGTTTTTGCTAACTCCCTCTTATGGCAGTGTGAAACCACAGCAAGAGGCAGGGATGATAGCCCTGGATGAGGGTTTGGTGTGCCTTCTCTGCCCGGGGGCTGGGAGTGCTGGCCGCCCCAATCTGAGGGCAGGCCGTCCCTCCCTGCCTTTACCTTTACCCCACTGTCTCCTTGCTCACTTATTTGTGGACATTTTCCCACCCTGGTTTAAATTTGGCTCAGTTAGCCTTTCACCTTGGGTTTGGCTTGGATTTTATTTTTCTGTGAGCGATTTCTCATTCCAGATGTGCTGGCTCCATCTTAGCCTAAGGGGAAGCCCCATGGTCTTTCCAGAAAGTGGCAGAGGGGGACTTGTTCAGGGAGGCAGACCTCATCTCCTGTGGTCGTCTGTCCTGGAGATTAGATGTTGCATATAAAGCAGTGGCACTGTGTACCTGCGTGTGTGAAGCGCTCCATGGATGCTTGCTATCGTCGCTTTTATTCTAGTCCCATCAGTGCTGGACTGCAGTCTCCTCTCGTGGAGGCTGTGGAGTAGTGGCCACGCCCCCATACACGGCTGGGCAGGATGTAAAAGGGGCCACTTTTGCCGTCAGCTTGGCAGCTCCTCAAAGTGTTAAACGTACAGTTCCCGTGTGACCCAGCAGTTCCACCTCGAGGTGTATACCCGAGAGAATTGAAAACACATGTTGACACAAAAACCGGTAATGGGAATGTCCATAGCGGCATCGTTCGGAACAGCCAAGAAGTGGAAACAGTCCGGATGTCCACCGACTGATGGACGGGTAAATAAAACACAGTGTATTCTCTACAGTGGAATGTCATTCGGCATAAGAATGAATGACGTGCTGATACCTACCGCTCTACGGATAAACCTTGAAAACGTGGCGCTAAGTGAAAGAAGCCAGTCACAGAAAGACCACATGGTGTATGATTTCATTTATATGAAATGTCCGGAACAGGGGACCCCACAGGGACTGATCGTAGACGAGGAGTTGTCTGGGCCAGAGGATTGGGAGGAGGGAGGTGAGTGCTAACGGGCACGGGTTTCCTTTCGAGGGGATGACAGTGTTCTGGGATTACGTCGCGGTCGTCACTACACAACCTTGTGGGTTTACGACCTTGTGAATACACCAACTCCGCTGACTTGTGCACTTTAAAGGGTGAATTGTGCAGCATACGAATTATATCTTGAAAACAAGACTCCAGTTGCCACCTTGTCGTAAAAAAATGTCTGCCCTCATGAGGCATAAAGTTTCATTGCCTCCTGTTCTCTGACTTTCCTGAGGACTTTTACAGCTTGAACAAACATCCGGACTGAGATTAT